ATTAAAGCTCAATCATCCCAGTGGAAGCTGCCACACGAGCCAAGACCGAAAAAGCGCGCCAATGTCGAATGTGAAGGATTTGCTTACAGATTTCTTACATTGTAGGGGCGTGATGCATCATAAGTTCTTACCACAGAGTAGAATGGTCAGTAAGGAATATTACCTGCAAGTTATTTGCAATTTGCGAGAAACGCTAGGATTTGTGGAAGAACAAAAATTGGCTTTTGCACCATGATAACACCCCTGCTTACACATCGTTGTCTAGGCGCGAATTTTTGGCCAAAAACAACATACTAATAATGCTGCAGCCCTGTATTCGTCAGATCTAGCCTCCTGTGACTATTTCTTATTCTCGAAACTGAAGAGGCCCATGAGCGGACGACGCTACGCTACGATTGAAGAGATAAATACGGCATCGAACGAGGAGCTGAACAATTCGCGATATTTTTTTAACAGATCTCATATCATTTAGTCACTTACTTTGTAGATTGCGTTGTAGAAATGAATTTCCTCCTGTTTTCCTCGCTTTAATTAAGAAAATATAATCTTTCATTTAATCTTGTAACTATTCTATCTCTATTTCATCCACTTCATCTTTCTCTGTTCAACCACCTGCATATTCCCACTATTGCTAAAAAGAGGCTGAAAATGACCTTAACCCCTGCCCTTCGGCTTTGAACTAACTAGACATTATCAGGTCAGAGGAATTGAAATGTAAATAATTGTTTTTAATCATTAGGAATTTATTTAAAAAAAGATGAGCGCGTTTGTGAAGCTATATCGCAAAACAATTCGTAACTTTTTACGACATCCAACGTAGACAATCCAGCAAAAATTAAATAACTTATAATATAATCCCATTTTGGAGTACGTAGAAAATTCAAACGAAAACCACAAAATTTGTGTTTCAAATTGAACCGTCTCGGGAAGGGAAACATTTCTAAATTCGCAAATTCGTGGGTTTATTAACGTCACTTTTCAGTTTACTCTTCAAGTTAAATCCCTTGCGAACGACGGCTTTTGTAGGGAGAAACAAAAAGGGACCGAAAAAGGGACAAAAATGCTTCCGCCACTTAAAACTTCATTCGAACGGTCACACGTCCAACTTTAAACTCGATTGAATTCTGAACGTTCGCCCCTAGTGACCGGACGATTTTTAATTCCCTTCCGAATTTCTACTTTTAGCATACGCATTAACTAAACGTGTGAATGACCATCCCACCGGCCTATAAGTTTTTTGTTAAAAAAAGTTGCCAAAAAATAAACAGCATCTTTAATTAAGAACAGCAGAAATTAGAATGCCAGTGTTAATAGCACTTTTTTAAGCACGAGGTGCCATCATGTGTACGTTTTTCCGTAAATAAATATAAAGTAAAGTAAAATCTAATTACAAAGGCGTGCATTATCTTTATGTTTAGTTAGTATCCAATGCTCGGTACTTTTACCAGCATCCTAATGTAGCTCTGCATGATTATAATAGTACCTTATGATCTTGCAGAACGATAATTAGATATTCAGGATAAAATTTGCAACTAAAAGTATCCATATTCTGCATCAGATACCCGAATTCATTTTATAAAAAGCCGAATTCAACTATGCACAATCATAACATCACTTTATGATCATGCAGAGCTATGTTTAGATATTCAGGATCATTTTATAACTAAAAGTGTCCGTATCCTCTATCCAATGTCTTAACGCTATTACCGGAATCCGTATCCCACACCCGGATACATTTTACCACTATTAGAATTCAGCTCTGTATGATCGTAATATTTCTGCACGATCGTGCAGAGCGATATTTAGATATTTAGGGTACATTTTCCAACTTCCATATTCCGTATCCGATACCCGAATGCATTTTATAAGTCGCCGAATTCATTACATACATCACTTTACGATCATGCAGAGCTATGTTTAGATATTCCGAATCATTTTGTAATTAAAAGTAGTCGTATGCTGTATCCGATGTCCGGGCGCTATCGTTGGAATACGTATCCGATACTCGAATACCTTATACTAGTATCCGAATCCAAATCTGTATGATCGCAATATTACTTTACGATCTTACAGAACGATATTTAAATATTCAAGATATAATGTGCAAATAAAAGTATCCATATTCTGTATCCGATATTCTGTATCCGATACCAGAATGCATTTTATAAGGAGCCGAATTCAACTCTACACAATCATAACATCACTTTACGATCATGCAGAGCTATGTTTAGATATTCAGGATCATTTTATAACTAAAAGTGTCCGTATCCTGTATCCAATGTCTGAACGCTATTACTGGAATCTGTATCCGACTCCCGGATACCTTTTACCACTATTAGAATCCAGCTCTGCATGATCGTAATATTTTTTCACGATCGTGTAGAGCGATATTTAGACATTCAGGGTACATTTTGCAACTAAACGTATCCATATTCTGTATCCGATACCCGAATGCATTTTATAAGTAGCCGAATTCAATTCTGCAGAATCATTACATCATTTTACGATCATGCAGAGCTATGTTTAAATATTCCGAATCATTTTGTAATTAAAAGTAGTCCTATGCTGTATCCGATGTCCGGGCGCTATTGATGGAATACGTATCCGATACCCGAATACCTTATACTAGTATCCGAATCCAGCTTTGTACGATCGCAATATTACTTTACGATCTTTTAGAATGATATTTAGATATTGAAGATATAATTTGCAACTAAAAGTATCCATATTCTGTGTCCGATATCCGAATGCATTTTATAAGGAGCCGAAGTCAACTCTGCACAATTATAACATCACTTTGCGATCATGCAGAGCTGTTTAGATATTCAGGATCAGTTTGTAACTAAAAGTATTCGTATCCTGTATCCGATGTCCGGGTGCTATTGTTCGTATACGTATGCGATTCCCGGATACATTTTACTAGTATCAGAATCCTGCTCTGCATGATCGTAATATTGTTTCATGATCGTGCAGAGCAGTACTTAGATATTCAGGATACATTTTGCAACTAAAAGTATCCATATTCTGTGTCCGATACCCTAATAATAATAACATCAATTTATGCAGAACTATGTTTAGACATTCAGGATCATTTAGTAACTAAATGTATTCGTATCCTGTATCCTATGTCCGGACGCTATTGTTAGTATAATGTATCCGATACCTGCATGATCGTAATATTACTTAACGATCATGCAAAGTCATATTTAGTTCGCGAATTCCTTGTCGCTCTCTTTGCTTCACTCAATTTGGCGACATTTTAAAAGTAGATTCACGCGATACGGACCAGCAGGTAGCAACAATATTACAATCGCATGCGGCGGTACCCCATCGCGTGTCCATGTAATACATAAAGACACAAACACACAATAACGCGAACGCGTGCACACTCACGATCTTTTGCGTGCAACATTCGAGCGTGCATAATTGCACACGTCTAATCACGTTTTAAGGAAAAAATATAAAGGGCTAAATAAGTACAATGCATAGGTGACGTGATATTATGGTCATATTATACGTCGTAGCCAGAATATAAAATCTCAAATTGAATAATGAAATTCTCTGGTTTTTCCTTGTATGAAATTAAAACTTCAAAACGTGAAAAAAAGTAAATAATAATTTTAATTTAATATTACACAAAGAACGTTAATTAACCTGTAAAAGGTTGGAGTATACGTTCAGTACCAATCAGCTCAATTATTGATGTAAAAATCAAGTTTGGGAGACATTCATATATGTATGTATGTATAAATAATCGAAATGGTTCACCTTTACCAAAAAATATTACCTATATTACATTTTCATAACTAAAATAAAGTCTCAAAGTTAGCCTTTTTTATTATTTTTAATTAAAGTAAGAGTTTCGTACACATTTGTTCACAACACACCCTCCTATCTCATACTCTTTCACAGGCAAGCAAGGCTCGATAATTAAAAATATAAAGGTACAGTCCATTTCAATTTGTTAGAATTGTGACCTTGAAGAAATCTGCGCGAAGATAGAAAAAATACACATTAGGCGTGAGCAAGACAGAAATAGTTGGAACCAGCTTGAACGAGCAGAGCTCTCGATGGGCGGTCTTAGGAGATCGGCTGGAACTGTACAGGACTAGACGAAAATGTTTAGCAATTTCTTAAAACAGAAGTGTATATAAACTTACAATAGTAAACAAAGCAAAAGTTTTATAGGTGTGTAGAACGTTAAGTTAATTCACTTGCTATTATTTTTGGCTAAATATGCTTTTAAACAAAGCATATTCTTACATTTTAACGAGGCAGTTGAAATAATTTTACAAATGGTACTGTACACTTTTGTCTAGTTCTCGCTCGATGATCGGTGGAGAAATGAGCTCCGCAGACAAACATGATTGAATTTGGAATTATGCTACGGCACATCCTAATAAAGGGAAGGGGCATATCTCTAACTTTTTGAAACGAACAGTACAAAGATGACTTTTTGTATTGATCGGTACTTCTAATGAAAGTGAAACTAACTGGATTGTTCTCAAACAGATTAGGCGTATTGTAAAATTTCTACAGTGTAGTTACAATATTGTACACGTTTAGTAACGTATTTTTAACTCCATCCCTTTTGCTGCGAATTTAGTTGCAGGCGTAGTCGCAACTGAAACAAAGCCTCTAATTGGGAAATTGGGCGTAAAACGATGACGTCCGCCGCTCCTGACGAAAGACGACACCGCAAATACCCCTCTAATCAATCGCGAACACGGCTGTTACTTGTCTAGAATGAGCTGATTTCAATCTCGAATAACAAGAACGATAACATTCAACCCTACTATTAGTCCATTATAAATAACTTTGGGAAATCCGGCTCGAAGGACCATATGGTACAAAATTAATCGACTTAAACCAACGTACTTTGCTAACACGATTTCAGATCAACATTTCGTGTCCATCAATAGAACGACAATGATCACTTAATATAGAAAAACGAACAAGAAAATGGTAAAACAAATCAAGATTTTTAATATTAAACATACCATTCTAGCGCCTTCAACGGCTCGTAGTGCTTGTTTATAATTCTTACCTGAAACAAAAAGAATTTGTAATGTTAATATAATCCATCTATCCTGTAACTATACTAATTTGAATAAACCAGCATTCGTGTATGTCTGTAATAGATTTAACACTATCACTAATCGAAAGTGCTTTGCTTTGTAGCATCTTAAATTCCACAATGCAAAATTCATGTTGTAGCAACCACCACGTTCTCAGGGCATTTAATAAAAGTTATAGAGTGCATTTTTTATAACCCATTTTATATTTGTCCATAAAGTGATGTTTATGTAATTATGTAATCTATTAAGTTTTCTGTTAGTTTTCCCAAAATATTATATTTGAGATACATGTTATAATTTAAAATAAACGAAAATAACAGCAATAGTAATAAAAATTCTAGATTCTAGTACCCTATAAAAATTATTTTTAACTGTCTTTCTAGAACAGATCTAAAATATAAATTTTAAAAAAGTCGTATTTATGTACATTGCAGCAAAAAGTAATTAAAAATAGACAATGTCAAATAAACGACTTCGCAATAAAGGGCAACGTGTGTATTTTTATGGTCGAAGCTGCTTCAAAAAGTAATATTTTCGATTCGTATCCTGACCATCGTAGAAACGTAAACCAGGGAAATGACGTTAGACGCGACAAAATATCATTAAAGCTGCCTCATAAAACTCGTAAATTGAGAACCACCTATAAGTAATTAAGTTAAGCACCATGTGATATATTATCCCCATGTAAGTACTAACCTTTATTAGATCGAAATAAAAATATACTTGCATTACTTGTTTGTCTGAGAAATAAAAAACGTGACAGTAAAATAATATCACTTTCATTTGATTTCATAATTACATAAAATGTTACCAATATAACTACAAAAATTACTAAAACAGAATGGATAATATACGTGGTACGTTCAAAAACTGTCGCGAATTTTGTGATTTTTCAAAAATTATTTATTTATTTATGAATATCTATTTTGTCCCCTTCAAAGTAATCCTCACCAGATATTATACAGGGTTTGTCCGGAAACCAATAGGACTGATTCGCGCACCGACTGGATTCGGTAGAGGGCATTCCTAGCTAACGAACGAGCGGCTGGTGAGTTGTCTCCGAGCACCTGGAGAGCCAGAACAGGCTTTTTCGTGCGACGTGTTTCTGTGAGTGGTGCAAGCCGAAAATGCAGCGTTCGTTAGAGCAGAGGTACGCGATTAAATTCTATGTGAAACTCGGTAAATCTGCGCAGAGACGTTTGATATGATTAAGCAGATGTTGCTTTAGTGGTGTGATTCGGTGGCACCAGGTCTTTTCATAGGGCCGGGAAGAAATCGCCTGAACATGCGCAAGGTGTGAGCGAAGATGGTCCCAAAAGTGCTCACTGACAACCAGAAATTGCGGCGAGTGGAAGGGTGCCAAGAAAATTTAAACATGTGTGAAAGTGACCCCCAATTTTTGAATAACGTAATCACAGATGACGAGTCATGGATCTTTGAGTATGATCCCGAGAGAAAGAGGCAATCTTCCGAGTGGCACACGCCGGCGCCTGCTCGCCCAAATAAGGGCAGAAAGGGCAAATCCAAAGTGAAAACTATGCTCATTGTCTTTTTTTGACATGAAAGGCATCGTCCACCATGAATTTGTTCCTCCTGGACAAACCGTCAACCGCAATTATAGTTATTATTGACCAAAAAAGGAGTTGTTTTAAAATGAAAGTACCACTGACCTAAAATGCCTTCCTAATGTTCATAAAAAGGTCACCGACGCCTAACATTTCTGTAACAAAATTTATAACTAATTCAACCCATAATAAAATCGCCCTATTCGGTGGGTTGATGAAACGAAAAATCGAGATAAATTCCGAAAGCTTTTGCACTTTCTCGGTAGGCACGGACCTGTATCGGGAGATTTATGCGTTACAATGAAAGAACACAGGTGTCTCCAGGACAACGGCGGTCCGACACTGCGTCACTTTTTAAGCTCAATACATTACCGCCATCTCTGATTACGACATGACTACTAAAGAAAAAGGCAAAAAGGAGAATGAAAGGAAGAGTGAGTACATCACCATGAAATTTATCGCATCCTAAGTGAATTGAAAAGCCATCTGAAATCGGCCTGGCGTAAACCATCAGTCTTGTTTGGAAAACCTGTCTCATACAATCGACTGAAACTGCTGTCTTCCGAGAAGCGCTTTTTAGAAATAAATGTTCGACTAATGGATAAAGAAAAACTTTTATCAAAACATGCTACGATACCTTTGTTACACCACCACATTAATAATAACACCGATGTATTAGATACCTGCGTATTAGTACATGTCAACAACATAATGGAAAATGAACATTGTTTTAGAAAGATACAAGGGGCATCAATGTATTCTTCGTATCAGAATGAAGAAATAGCTGTTTACGGGCCCCGGTAAAAGATAGGGGTGTAAACAGGTTAAGGGATGAGGAAAACCTTATGAGGTATCCATTTATTCTTCACCATAAGGTCGTCAGTCCTAAGACTGTTTGGACACGCACCTCCACTCTATCCTATCCTGAGTTAATCTTCGTATTTTCTTATAAGTAGAACATTCCACATCCGTAACTATTTCAGAACAGCAATCAAATCTAGGTCTACCTCTGTTCCTATTGACTGCTGTTCCTACTTCTATGCTTGAGGTGTCCTACCAACCTATCTCGCCCATTTCCTATTGATATCCATAAAGTCCTCTGTTCTCCTATTCTTTCTAATACCTCTTCATTTCTAACCTTCTCTATCGACGGAATCACCACTTTTTGAACGCTTCTATCCTTTCCTTTTCAGCCGCGCCCACCGTCCATGTTTCGCAGCCATACAATGCCGCGTTCCCGACATACACTTAACAATTATTTTCGAATTACTAAATTAACCATTCGCGAACATAGATGTGACTTCTTTTTGACGATGGCGACCCGATTCATTCGTTATGTGAAGTGAAAAGGGAAGGGAAAAGGATCCAACAAAATCTCACCAAGGGGGTTGGGGGCCCAGATTTTTAAAAATATATTAAACAAGACAAATGTTTCTAGGATTGTACAGAAAAAAGGTTCACGTAACCATAATATAAATCGTACTGTCACAAGTTTTCTAAAAATTATGGATTTCTAAAAGCAACAAAAAGAAATAAGTAGTACATATCGATCAGAGAATAGATTAGTCATCTCTTTTTAAACGTAAATGTGTACGGATGATGAGATGATGTACCTACGCAATTACGGTATACGCTAGAATAAATCTAAACATAGGAATAGAAACTACATGTACAAAGTCAGTCAGTCTTATGGGAGCGTCACCAGTTTATGGTCGGTTGTCCGCATAGAGAAATTTTGTATTTGACAAGTGATAATAGCACAGAGGACTGTTGTGTTTTTGAACCTTTTTAGTGATGAACCTACTTAGATTCACTCGTTTCGAGTTAAATTACTCTAACACAGAACAAACACTTAACCCCTCCTATGACCACCGTATAACAGTAAAAGGTATAAATAATACAAACAATTAGGTACTGTGCCCAGTTCACGTGCTATAAAATTTTTAATAAACGTTTGAACAGAAGAACATTAACATTAATGAACTTCAATTAATCTTTCAATTTCAATTTCATAAGCGATTGACATTCAGCTACATAATATTCGTAATTAAATTTCACGTTTGTAACATGCATCACCTATTCCAAATGAGCTCAATTGATTACTCAAAAAGAAATGCGTTGAAATGAAACATTTTATTGCTTACTAGTGTTTACATTTTTTAAAGATTCTTTAAAAAGACCATTGAAATATGCAACAGTGTCAAACAATCAATTCACAAGAACCATTAAAATGTTAGAATTATCATTATTATATACAATAAGGACTCAAATGTATGTACCAATTTTTTAGAAACAAACAAGCTGTTCATCATCATCATAAGGTCGTCACACCTAAGACTGGTTAGACACGCACCTCTACTACTTCCTATCCTGAGCTAATCTAAATTTTCTTAAAACTAGAACATCCCACATCCTTAACTATTTGCGAACAGTAATCGAATTTAAGTCTATCTCTACTCCTCCTAACTCCTATTTCTGCCTCTAATATGTCTTTGACTAAACCTTCATGCCTGATAAGATGTCCTACCAATTTATCTCGCCTATTTTTTATTAACTTCCATAGAATCCTCTGTTCTCCTATTATTTCTAATTCCTCTACATTTCTAACCTTCTCTATCCACGGTATCCTCATCATTCGCTGGTAACACAACATTTTTCGCGAGCATAGAAGTGACTTCTTTTTATTGAACGCGACTCGATCGATCCTGTGCTATCCTCTGCTTTGTATCACTACTACTCCTTCTATCCTGACTTATCTGACTTCCTAGATACCTAAAATCACCCACTTTTTCTTATATTTCGTCTCCTACCTTTATATTCGCTCTTTCCCTAGATTTTCTTTCCTTGCATACCAGTATTTTTGTTTCACTTTTATTTATTTATAAACATTTTGTTATTGTGCGGATTGTTTTTTTTTTTTTTGAGTTGTAAATACGTTGTATTGAAATTGGTGCTTGTTGAATTATTTTTATTAAATATGTATATTATTGTTAAATTCCATCATTGTGTTGTCCTCTACCAGTAGGTATTACTGTACATACGTATACTCCATAGGTAATGTCAGCGAACACAAGCTGCTGAAAACTATTTTAAAACTTGTTTGAACAATATCAGTAGAGGACATTTTACGATATTTCTAAATCACAAACACATTATACATGACATACGTTACTTACGTAATAACGACCCTGGCAATCATCGGAGGGCATAAAATGATCGCTTACACACATACATACATTCAAACATGAACATACATATATATACATATGTCAGTAACGGATAATTAAACTTCTTACGCGACTGCACCGGGCCCTAATGAGCACTTTATGATAAATGAAATACGACTGGTATTTAATTGCAGTATAAGCAGTGGCGCTAATTTATACGCTGTCCGAAATCGAGAA